ACCACTACATCAAACTGACTCTCATACCTTTGAGTCACTGTTGACTCTTGGCGACTGCCTGGACTAGTCCCTGCACTTTTCTTGGCAAGGTTTTTTGGAAGTGATTTGCCATTGCCTCCTTCCCAGGGCTGAGAGAGAGTGATTGGCCCAAGGTCACCCAGCTGGCTTCATGCCTAAGGTGGGACTAGAACTCAGGTCTCCTGGTTTCTAGCCCGATGCCTTAACCACTACACCAAACTGGGTCTCATTTATGTGTTAGACCAGGGTTATTATAAAGACAGATCCATCATAAATGAGTGTATGTCACTGATCAAATTCATCAGTTATATTAGGTACTGTAGCTGTAATATAAGGTCCTGATATTTCTAAGACATATATATCTGCTACAGTATTCCCATTTTGACCTCCCATTCTTTGTTAAATATCTGCTGTCTTTAAGAGATGGTTTAATTACAAATTCAAAGCTTGTAAAATGTTTGCTGTGAAGAATGTGAAACAAAAGTGTACAATTATATGTCTTCAGAAAAGCTTTCCAGTCAGCGATGGTTACAAGATTAAGTTATCTTGTCCAAGTCCAACTTCTAGAATAAGACTTTGTCATTGCATTCTATAGCCCTTATCCCTGTTAAACTAGGTTACTTTCAGAATGGTCATTAAAATATTTTCAGATTTGAAGGCACCTTTATTGCAGTTTGGCTACTGGTGAAAAATAGTAACCTATGCTGATTTAATCTTTATGTCCATAAATTTCTCAAATTAATTTTTTCCATTCTTCATTCTCAAAATCAGGAACTGAAGTTCAATTACAGTGTAATCTTATATACCTATTGAGAAATTGAGTTCAATCAGACATACCTAAATGGAGGTTATAGGATATCAGTCTCTCTCTCTCTCTCTCTCTCTCTCTCTCTCTCTCTCTCCATACATACATACATACATACATACATACATGTACTTCCATAAGTCCCTCATATTTTGTCTTTATTCTTATTCAAATGAATAAGATATATGGAGTTATGTGCACTGTTTTCAAGGTCTTCAGATTTGTCCTCTTTCCCAATCCTGCTGGTTTATGTAATAAAAACTAAAAGGAGTTCAGCTGCACAATCATAGATGTATTTGCTTTTTTTTGTACAGAGAACAGTAACACTCTAAATTTTACTTGCATTCAAAAGTTTGTGAGAACACATACACATATATCTTGTCAAGATTGGGAATGTAACAGGTAAGGCTGGCTTACAGAGAGCCTTACAGTGGGAACACTCATCTGTACCTCTTACACACACTAATTTTGTCTGCTGAATGTGTAGTGTTGAACAAGGTCCTGGTGATAATCTTGATCAGAATTTGATTGTGGGGAAATGTGATAGCTGTTTTCAAGACTATCTGAAAGACTGTCATGCAGAAGACAGACCAGAACTATTAGGAGTTGTTTCAGAAGACAGGGCAAGAAATAATGGGTTTAAATTACAAGCATGTAGATTCTAGTGGACACCAGGAAATGTTCAACAATGGAACAGAATGCTTTGAGAAGTGGTGGACTCTCCTTTGCTGGGGATATTTTAAAAAAACAAACTGGTGGTCCTTTTGTCAGGATTGTGCAATAGTAGATTACTGAACTGGGCAGAACTTTGGACTTTAAGATCCTTTCCAACCCTGTCTTCTGTAATTGTATAGTTCTATTTTTAGTTTAACAGAGGTTCTTTCCTCTTGTCTCCTATCTGTATTTAGAAGAGAAGGGAATATTTTTTATTTTAAATAATTTTTAAATAATTTAAAAAACAAAATTATCTTACATAACATCTATGAGATGCACTGGAAAATTTCTGTGATGTGGCTACTTTGGTGCTTCCATTTTAGATTTCATATATTTCCAAATTCAAGTGCCATGAATATGTGTGGACAGTTTTCAGCAGATATAATAAGAGAACCAGAATAAGAAGACTAAGGGTCCGCATTTAGTCCCAAACAAACTAGTGTCCCATTAAAAAAAAAAAATGCTGTCAATAGTGTTTCAAGCATCTCCTTACAAGGGACAAAAGTTGATTACCTAGCAAAGTCCAAGCAATTTTTTTCTAGATACAACCTCCTTTTCGGTGTTTCAGCTGATGAGCTTATTGGTTTATCTCCTGTCATACCAAGTGCAGTGTTGTATAATACAATTACTTTGGATTACGAAGGCTATTGTTTCCAGCATTACTGAGAATGAGCCCTATTAAAAGGCTGGGAGACAATCTGGTCACATTAATCAGGCCAGTAAAAGGGCACTACCTGGAGGATTTATGATCATTTTAAGAGCTCTTTTACAGAAGGAACCTTAAAAATGGTTTCCCCGCAATACAATTAAATGGTTTGCTCTCCAGCTAATAAAGAGAACAGCAGACATCAGATAGCAAAGCATGCCTGAGGCTGTTAGGTTTCATCAGATAAGGAAAGCTGGTTCTGCTACATGTTCAATAGTGAATTTTGACAAAAATGTTGGATTTTGTAAAAAGATTCTTCAGTATCTCAGAAGGGATAATCTTCAGCTAGATAGTTGCCACTTGGAAGTAAGGTGCTGCCTTACAGATTTAAGGTCCCAAAATATAGCACACCTTGGGCACTTACTATATAAGCAGAGAATTTTTTTGAGAATTTACTAGCAAACCAGTTCATTTTCCTTTTTTTGAACTTTTCCCCAAAGCTTGATTTTGATTAGTGCTGGTGACACTATATTTACAGTGAGGATATATGGCAAAGCATTAATAGAAGATATTCTACAATTGTGGTAAATGTTTTTATTTACTGGAAATGTTTTAACAGCTAGACTAAGATTTTAAACTATAGAGGCCAATGTGTTTGATCAATCATAGCACTTCCCAAAAAAGCTGTGCCACTCATGTTTCAGTTCCTGATCAAAGATTCCTTTTTTCAATCTTGTAACACAGCAGCCTTCCAGTGGAGGGCAATGTACACCTTCAGGAATTTGAGGCAGAAGTAGCATATGTAATGTTAGCTTTGATTTGAGCTTAACTCCTGATGATTTGCACGACCCATCCATGCAATTTTCTGGGCATCAGTGCAGAATGTTTGCTAGTGTATTTTTCCAGGATGGCTTTTTAAAGCTTTCCACAGAGCTTAGCTGTTTTTCTTCTCCCTTTTCTCCTCCTTCTTCTCCAAATATATCAAGTAAATATAACTCATGTCTCTCTTTAACACATACTCATGCATAAATATGCACCTCTTTTGTTTATTCAAACTAAAATTTGCATAAAAGCATCAACCAAATGTTGTTTGATTGTAGGAGGTTGGAGATATAGATGGAAACCTTCTATATTCTTGATACTTACAAGATGCCCTTACATGAATTAGTGACCCTGTTTTCAGTGCATCTTTAACCCAATCAGCATTAAATCAAATTAACGTACTACCATTTAGTGGTCATTTGGATATTTTGTAATAGCCATGTAGCATAATAAAAAGAATCCAGCATGAGTGACATTTGAAGATTATGGCTTGTATGTTCTTTAGATCTTGCTGTAAGCTACTTGAACTGGTTCTAATTAGTTTCTTCTCAAGATTGGATTCAAAGAGGTAGAAGTATTCATACAATCAGTTAATGGGTGGCAGAAGTTGTTAATTCCTAGAGGAAGGGCTTGGACTACCTGCCTTGAATTGCCAATGCAAGGAAGATTTCAACATAGCACCACCAATAGCTGCATTTATATAAATGCCCAGCCACCATAATTAGGTCAAATGGAATTAGGAGATGGGGCTCCTTACAGCATTTATACCTGTGGGAATATAATCAATACTGTCTGGCACTTGGTTTCCTAATGCTCTCTTCAGAACAGGAGTAAGTGATCTGTGGCTCCTCCTGATGCTAAACTACAATTCCCATCTCCCCTGACCATTGACCATAGTGAGTGGAGCTGATGGGATTTGGAATCTAACAATATCTAGAGGACTACCATAGTTTGATCTCTAGACAGTGTGACATTTATCCAATACACTGTAATTCAATCAAGCCCCTGACAATCTATAATGCAGAAGTTCACAGTAGATCGGAGGCCCACTAAGGAGTCATCTTGATCTCAGGGCTAACAATTCAAAATAACGTCACTGTAAAACATAGGCCATATGAAGTAACCTTGAGCTAACCAACAGAAATGAACATCTTTCAGGAATACACATAATTATCACAAGTATTCTTCTACAGGGATGTCCTGTTATGTCCCATAAGTCCCATATCTTTTAAGAGTCTTTCTTCCAATCCTTATCTGAAACTAGGGGGCAAAATTTAATCACGGCACATAAATAATCATCAAGTTGCAGTGTGATTTTAAATATACCTAGCTAAAGTAAATATAAAGTCTCTTTCAAGCCAAGCTTCATGACTCTTCATGACTTCATGGACATATCTATGTAGTTTTCTTGGCAACAATACAGAAGTGGTTTGCCAGTCTTCTTTCATACCATGGAAAGAAAGACCCTACCTCTACAGCAACATACATTGAAACGTGCTATCCGTCCCTTCAAATAAGATTTGATGAACAAATCAAATTAATCCTGAGGAGCACTAGAGAAGGGAGATTGGTAACTTTGGCACAAACTCCTTTCCAATTAAGTAAGCAATGGCTTCCTCTTGTCGTGATACATTTTACATAAATAGTTCTGTATCTCAAAACATGAATATATTCTGCCTGTACTAAGGTACAATACTTACTATCCTACTACAAACAGAAATCTCTCTATATCTGATTGACAGCTGCGTTGTAGCCTTTCCTATGTACACACTTCTACAAAAACAAACCCATACCTCTGTTTATAAAAATGCTACAGGATAATTGGCTCCAGCTGTGGTCTTGGTCATTAAAAACTGCTGTAAAGCATTTTTCCTTAAAACATACTAGAATGCATCGGAAACAAAACATGCCACAGAAATGCATCACAGTGATATCATTATAATTACTCTCCTTTATTATCATTTGTCAATTTGAAAAAGGAGCCAGGAGTCACAAGTTACGCTAATTGGCACATTTGCTTTATTTTATTTTATTAAACAAACTGGGCTTGTATTCTCATTCTGTGTTTTTCCTTTTTCTCTTTTTTGCTTTGTTTGTTGTGTCTCCTATAGTTCATTCCATCATCACATTGAAATGGGGAGAAAAGAAAAATGTTTGTTCTTTTTTTTTCCTCTCTCTTAACTCACTCAATAGGTTTGGACTCCTCAGAGGAACATAACATTGCACACACACTTGGAACAGAGAAAAAGGGGGGGCAGGAGAGAGAGAAAGAGCGCACTCGTGGTGGGCAGACAAACACACACACGCGCAGATCAAACAATTCTGATACAGTGCAAGAATTTTCCCAAAATGATTGAATCATCATTACCAAAAAACTCGCCATAACAACACCAAGAAACAAAATGTTTAAGCCACACTGTTTGACTGGGATTTTTCCTGCTTTTTTTTTCTTTAAATGTTTGCCACACAGAGAGAAAAGGGGCGGAGGGGGCAGAAAGGGACAAAGAGGACAGACAGATTTACAGGTGAAAGTGGGAGAAGTAAGATTGGAACCAGGAAGGGAGGGAAGATACAGGAAAAAGGAGGGGGGAAGGGCAAGAGGAAGTCATTTCTTAATGTTCAGGCATTTTCTTGGTCCGCCTTGCTCTCATCTTCTTTCATTTCTTCCTGCAGGGCACTTTCAGAAGGTTTGGTTTCTTCTACAGCATCTATGAAGTATAAATATAAAATTGTCAGGAAAGGCATGAATTGAATTTGGTAGTTTTGTTATTTAAAAAAAGGAATGGCAGGAGTGCAAAAGAAACTATGTCCGGGGGCTGCATATAGTCTACCAGCATCACTTTTGTGATCATAGCATCCCTAAGATGCGTGAAGGCAAACTGTGGGTCTCTTTTTGCATGTTGGGTGAGTGGGGAGAGCGTTGGAAGGACAAAATGGGTGCATTAAACCTTGGTCATGGTCAAGGCATCATTTCACAGCTTAGAAAGCTTAAAATCACTCTCAACAGCCTTTACAGTACTTACTTTCAGAATGCCACCCTTGACATCCCATGTAAAATGATGCAACCCTGAAACTAATGGAAGCTGTTGAGCACCATCATCCATGGAATCTGAAAAGCTGCCAGAGCTCCCAAATTTTCATCATTGGCATTTAAGTGCCACTTTACCTTGCTTGATTAGCTCTTTTTTTGGCTTTTTTTTTTCCTTTTCTGTACAAAGAACCACATTTCTGTAGCAATTATTGCTTGCAGAGAAATTATCTTGCATTTCTTTCTACCAGTCATCAATGTGATGAAAGAGAACAAGTGTTTAGAAGAGGTGCAACTCCCAGATAAATGTAAAGAATCCTACCTGGATCTCTATACAGATGCTTCCAGTCAATGTTGATAATGCTGGGCTAGATGGGCAATCAAGTACCTCAGATAAATTAAATTCTGATATTCTTTTTTATGTTTATATATTTTGTAGAAGACAATGAAACCAGAATAATTTTTATAGTAAATTAATTATACTGACTAATATTAAAGTTTAAGGGAATGAGAGGCTAGCCTTTTCAGTAAACCAGACAAATTAAGCAACTAGCATTTCAATTTTCTAGAGAAAATATAGGAAAATAAAGGGAAAAATAGCCTGGAAAATTTACTCTGAATTAGAATAATCTAGTATGAAGAGTTCAATAAATGAAATTAAATTGGGAACAAGTCTTTGAACTAAGGGTCTTCTTTTGCATTTATTCCACTTAACAGTTCAGCTAAATTATCTCAAATTTTTTAGGAGGTCCACTTGGAACACTTATTCAGGTTTGGAATTTTTACTACATTTTTATTAATTTTAGACTCCCTAAATTTTACTTTGGAAATAATAGAAGACGACACTAACCTATAAAAACTATTTGCAAATTATGCCCCACCATACACATCCCCAAAACATCTGTTCTGCCATTACTGAATATAGGATTTTGGGCCAAGTTAGAACTAGCACTAAATAGCACTATCAAAACTGTATTATGCACATCATAAATAAAGTGTCTGATCCTTTCTGTGGATGCATTACAAGGACTTTTGTTGTTGTTGTTGTTGTTTTATATTGTTTTTTACTAGTTTCCCCTCTAAATATCTCAGTAAACTACATTTACTTTTAATAATCATTTCTGCCTATTTGTTTCTAATTGTAGATACATCTATACTTAGAGCACTATCAAAACTGTATTAAGCACATCATAAATAAAGTTTCACACAGCTTTCATGCTTTCAAGTACATGAAATCTAAGGGGAGTTCCAAATGTTGATACTCTAACTTCATCATGTAGTTCTCTGTATGGAAAGGATCTTGGGTAGATATAAACTAGCATGGCTTCTTGAGAATATCTACTTCTTGTGCACTATACAGTTCTTTTGAAAGGCAAGGATATTGTGGACAAGCATTTATCAGTAAATGAATCAGAGCTATGAATATAGATTTAGGTGTTTGAAAACCAAGATGGGCAATTTTGTTTCAAGAAAGGGCAGCATTCACAGCTGACTTCAACTGCATTACATGTTAATGGCTTGTAGGCTCTGCTCCAAGTGCTTCTACCGCCGTACACTGCTGAAATTAGGTTGAATGGATTTCCGGTAAAAGACAATCTCTTGGGATCAGCCCAGCTCTTTTTGACTTGCTTGGATTAATTAAATTGGAGTAGACAACAACACACTGCCTTTGTTATATTTCCTCTCTTTCTTTTTGAAGGCTGGTGGCTTTTGGCTTTGGCTTTATACTTGTGGTGTCCTTAGAATGATTAAACATAATGGCAGTACATAAAAATAAATAAATAAAAATCATTTGTAGCCCTGTGGATTCTGTATAATAGGAAGGTTTGTCTTGGAAGGTTTGTTCATATAGTTTTCACATTTACAGCTGACATCATTCATTCAGAAATAACTATGACAATTTCTTTAACATTCAGCATCAAATACTTGATTGGTATGTGTCTCCCTTTGTTCAGACTATCAAGAAAGCAGACCATTGTCTTAAACTCACTTTTCTGTATCTGCACTTAGTTTCTAAAGAAAATCTGTGGTCAGCATTTTACCAGGCAAGCACCCTTTAAAGATGGGTTGCCTTTGGCTGTGAGTAGTTTAAAAAGAGTTTTGCATGAGACAGTCCTGTTACTCACGTTGGAGGAAAAAAAAAAAACAGCCTTACTATTTGTTCAGTTGTATATTTCTTTCTCAGACAGCGTACAGTACATGTTCTTGCAATGACTAATATACGTGAAACATTAATATCAATACAACACGTTTTTTAAAGTAGGGCAATAATAATTTAATAATGTATTAAATTTTAATAAAATGCATTAAAATGTATTAAACTTGTATACAACATCCCAATTTAGCCAAATGATTTCTTAAAGGGATGGTTTAAACAATTCCATAGCAAAACCTGCTTTGCACATTCTCATGGTTTCTTCATCTAAGAAAGAGGTTATTTTGGAATGCTTGAGGATTCTCTTAGCAGTGTTATTGTGCTAATTTTTTTATTGGGAGGACCAGAAGATGCTACACTGGAGGTGTTCTCTAGTACCCATCTTTCCATAAGTCTGAAGACGTCCTGGCTTATTGCACTTACAAATCAGAAAAAAACTCCAATAGGAGGAGTTTCCCCATAATCTCTTTCCATGGGATTCGATTGAATAATAGGTAGTCCCTAGTTTAAGAATGAGTTCCATTCCCATGGTCTGTCCTTAAATCGAATTTGTATGTAAGCCAGAACAGTATTATTGTATAATACTGTATAAGTAATATTGTGTAATGAACTCTAACCATTGTGTATTTAACTCAAATGATTTGAGTTAACTCAAATTTTGCTACAATAGGCTACTATTCCTAACTATGGGTTGTCTGTAACCCAGGCATTCTTAACCCAGGGACTATCCATATAGGAAGCCAGGGAGGCTGGAGACTGCTGGAGTGATGATTGTGCAATAAAAGACAGGATATTCACCCACATTTCTTCATCCCCAGTCAGCCTGTAATTAAGTATCTTGTTCTTTCACTATAATGCACCACATACAAACACACACATTAAAAAATCTCCATAAAACTCTTATACTTTGAAAGAAATTTCAAAACCAAATTCTTTTTACATCAAACTGAGGTACTAAGAGAAAAATCAACCTAATGCCTGGCACTAATTATAAAAATTGAGTTAATTCAGGGCCAAATGCAACTCTGTAGGCTGCACATTCCATAGGGAGACAGAGCATTCCAAAAATGACCTGGAAAAGGCCTTTTGCTTATACCTCATTTCTGAAGTGCAGTATCATCTTAAATACTGTCTCTGCAAAAATTCTGAAGTTGGGAGGATTCCTTCAGATACCCTGAACTTATTCATTATATTTTCTATGCCTATTTTATTTATTTATTTATTTATAAATCAAATTTATACACCACCCATATCACTATCAGTGATTCTAGGCGGCTCACAAATGAAAGACATAAAAACATTTAAAAACTACAAAACACATTAAAAAAAACTACAAAGTTAAAAGATGGAGAGAGCATCCTCAAGGCACCAGCCATTCCCAGTGTTGGAAGCCCCCATTGGATCCCCAAGCTAGTTTGCAGAGCCAGGTCTTAAGGCTCTTCCAGAAGGCCAGAAGAGTGGGGGCCAATCTCACCTCAGGGGACAAGATATTCCACAGAGCAGGGGTGATGACAGAAAAGGCTCTCCTCCTAGCCCCCAAGACTCTAAATAAAATTAGATTTTATTTATCAAAACCTAATTCTTATCTATTCATAAATGTATTCTTTTACACTTTTTTCCTTCATGTACAAATTCTGGAAAAACACTGTTTTCTCACTTGTTTGATGTAATCAGGATCCCAGAATATCTTTATATGTCCTGCATAATGGGAAAGGTGGCCTTAAAATTCTACAAGCTATACAACAAATTATTCTCACATATTCGTATCTGGTCTTGGCACAGTAAGAGTTATCATAGGATTGATAAGAGAAGACAATGTTGTGTGAATGCATGAGAATAATGTTAGATTATTCTGGTGCAAGGAGATAATCTGGTGCAAAGGGTGCAAACTGTTTTATTGAAGTGTGAGAACATTTCAACATGTCACGATGGAAGTAGAACAAACTTAATGGATGACATGCAGACCTGAAACTGTAGTGGATTTGTACAGCTGACAAAATTGTTGGAAGAGAATTTTTGGAGTCACACAAAAGCCCTGTGCAGACATCATTGGAAAACTAATTTATTTATTGCTTGTACCATTTTATTTGGAGCAAACCTACTGTTCGTCTTTGCAACTCATCATTGCAGAGGATGTTGGCAAGATTTTCCTATTGGTAGAAATGCTCACTCACCCCACCTTCTAAATTAAAGGGAACAATTATTCCCTCTCCACTCTGCCAGATATTGGGAAAAGTTCCCACTTGTGAAAATGTTGACATGTTATTCTTTCATCATCATAGTTTATAAGAGGTTTGTAATGCAACATTTGTGATGAACGCCATCCACCCTTTCATGATTGCTGGATATTTGCTTTTGCATGCCAGATTTGAAAGACAAAACCCATAAGCAAATCAGTTTGATTTGATGATACAGAAGGCAGTTATGAGCCGCCAGTGTGTTAACATTTTTCTTTCCAAGTTTAAAGTTGAAACAAGAACTATCAGGGGGACAACTTACACTAAGAAAAATATTTCTTATTATAT